TACTAATATACTTATGTATATAAATGAAAGGATAAAAGATAAATTCAAATAGTCTTATGTTCCATTTGAATACAATTTGGTAAAAATTGAGTAAAATTGGGTGAAATTAAGTGAATTTTATTCAATTGAGTGCAAAATTTGTAAATTATTGAGTATATTTGGTTGAAAATAGAGAAAATTAAATTTAATAGAGTCAAATATAATTAATTTTACACCTAAATTTATGGTGTATATCAAATTTGAAAATGATAACAGTAAAGACTGCCGCTAGAGAGTCTTTTCAAAATGCTAACACTAGCATCTAATTTTATTGACTAATATTGAGTGAATTGGTTTGAAACTAATCAAATTAACTCTCAAATCAATAAAATTTATTGTAATGAGATGAAATTAGGATAAAATCTAGTTATTTCATACAATTCATCATATATTCCTTTCGTCCCAAAAAGAATATCACACTTCACTATCTAAAAATTACGGAAATTTTATTTGTTTGTGCGTTATCATTTATATGTATAATTTATCTTTAATTTCTACATATAATAAATTTAAGGCATAAAATTTTGTACTTTTTTTCAGGAAGATAATACATTTTATGAGGGAATGAGCAAGTAATGTAATTAGTTCAAATGATAAAATAAAATTAAAAATTAAAAAATATAATATGTTTATTGAAAGGCAAACATAGTTTTGAATTTATCGATTTTAGTTCTAATCGGGTTCGGATATTATCGATTTCAGATCTAATCGGTTTCGGGTATTATCGGGTTCGGATCTAATCGGTTTCGGGTTTAATCGGTTCGGATATTATCGGTTTCGGATCTAATTGGTTTCGGATTTAAATCGGATATGAACTATTTAGTTCGGTTTCGGTTCGATTCGGATCATTTCGGGTTTTCGGTTATAGATCGGATCTTCATTTTTCGGGTCATTCCGGTTTTGGTTTTGAATATTTCGGTTCGGGTAATCGGTTCCGGTTCTGTTTTGCCAGGTCTAATTTGAAGCATATATATTGAATCTATTCTTTTGGTGCATTTCACTTGGACGGCTCTGATGGCTTTGAGTGTTTTTAAAGGGCCTTGTGTACTTTAAAAGGAGTACTCCTATATCATGTGTCGGTAAAGAGAGAGGCCGAGATGTATCCTCCAAATATTGTGTGTTAATGCATTGTTGAGACGTTTGATGTATTCTAATTAATACTCGTATTATAGTGGAAAGTTAAATTTGAGGGAAACGTGATTTTTTTCTCTTAATGAGAAGGGTTCCACGTTAAAAATATTGTGTGTTAATTTTTTTTATTTTTCTATACATATCTTGTGCAGTTTTTTTCCAACACCGTGGGGTATGGGAGCCGTGACAGGCCATCCCAAGTGCAACCTAGGACCGTGATTGCGGGAAACACCCCCTGCCTCCCCTATGGCCGTGATGGGTGTGTTCTCCATCCGGTCTTTCACGGCTGTTTTTTGCTTCTTCTTTTTTTTCGTTTGCTCTCTGTCATTGCTTTCTTGTTTGCTTTGTTTTCTTTCTTTGTTTCTTTGATATTGTAAGGTAACTAAATAATGAGTCTTGCCATCCTACTAGTATTCTTAAATTTTGGGGTTACATATTCTCTACCTTGTTCATATACACGTTTTGGGGATGTTAAATTTGTGTGATGAGTAGTCATGTGACTAAGTTAGAAGCGAGGTTTGAGAAATGCTTCTTCATCGAGTACTCAAAAGGATTTAGACCATGGTTTTCTATCATGAAAGTGATCAAAAAGTTATAGCAAGTACAAATGTAAAAATGTTCTTGGAAGATAACCAATAACGAGAAGCAACATAACACCTCAATTAAGGAATATCATGTGAGTTCCTCAATGATCTGTTATGACGAATCAGACAACGGGGCTCTCGGACGACACTTTGTGGGATGATGCGAGGGATGATACGGAGGCAACGTACACGGGTCTAGAAGAGACCGTAGGCAGTCGAGAGGAAGATGTACCCGAGGTACGTAGGAGTTCACAAATGAGGCAAAGCCCGGTGTGGCGAAAGGATTACGTACGCTACTTGATATTTATTATTCTTTTATTGTATTCTAGATTTTTATTAGGTGAGCGAAATTATAAGCTTCTTCGAGGGTTTCTTCGTGGTTCTTTACCTCGTTGCTTTTCTTGAACTGCCAGGGTAGAAAACCTAGTAATTAGGTTAAGGGTTTCTCTATTGGCTATAAATAGAGATGTACACCACTTTTAACATTCAAGGAAAAACCTATCAAACCCTAATCTCTCTCATATCGCCAGCTCGGGTGCCTGCGGTTGTAGCTCTCTCTTTCTTTACCTCAGTTTCTGGAGTTCAAAGGCACTCAAAGCCTTCCCTATCCTGATACACTCATATCATATTGGTGCTCTTGTTGATCATCATGAGTTCAGAAGCCACGCCTCTAGCAGATCATCTCGCGTTTATTAATGCCCATTTCAAGGAGTGGGGGACACTATCCATGACACCACCAAACAATCGCAGCAAGATTTTGAGACTCGTTTGGCGTTCCAGGCTTTGAAGATGGACAGCCAATACGCACAGGTCAAAGCTTTGATTATGGAAGCACACAAGGACAACCACTCCACCCAGCGGCCTCATGGCAACCGCCATGCGTTTCATGACGATGGATTGAGCATGGAGGATATATCTTCGTACACACCCAAACCAAAGCTTGAATTATTTTTGCGTTTTATATATTGCTTCCGCATTTGCCAACACCGTTTCTATCAAACTCCGAAAAGTTTTCAAACACCTTATTCACCCCCCTCTAAGGCGTGGGCACAACGACAAACACCGACTAACACTATCATATCATATTTATTCATTATTAATCTCTTCATCACATCTCACTTTTGCAAATCACATCAAATGACAGTTTGAGCATGTGAAAAGAAAAATATTTCTCCTTTAAATTTTCTAAAAATCAAAAGAAAAATTATTTTATGAGACAGGTATAAAGTATATTATTCCCTGCGTCAAGTATTAATTTATCCAATTTAACTTTTCTCCGTTTTAAGATGTGTTGACTCAGGAGATGAATTGGCTAAAATGTCCTTACTTAAAAGGGCTTAAAGAAATGCAAATTGTCTTGCCACTGCTAATCTCCCAATCTTGCTAGCACGCATCACCACCAGCCCCCATCGCGGCCAGCCTCATTGCTGCACCCATCGCCAGCCCCACGATCACCACCAGCGCTACCATCTCCATTAGCCCCTACCAC